TATCGTTTTAAAGCAAATAAATCAACAGTGAATGAAATAATATAATAATAATAATTTTAATCCTATCCTTATTATCTGGCCCCGTCAACGGGCACTTTCCATATCAGTTCCGCCAGCCATTCCCATTCCGATTGCGAGTGCGAAGAACTCTCGGCCGTGTTCTATATCTCTAGTCGTCTAGGTCGGTTCCCATCGGTTTTGGCTCGCGATCGTTCAGTTGTACGCAAACGGTTAGTGTTAATGCCCGCAGTTGCATTATTCGCATTTCCTCGATCCGTGAACCGCGTAGTATTCGCATACCGCCACTCGAAAAAGAACTTTCGCTACATTTGACTTGTCTTTCTCTTGCAGTCGGGCGAAAAAGCTTTAGTGATAGAATAAAACCATATATACTCAGTTAATCTAAACACAATACAATATACGATGGCTGCTGGTCTGGAAACGCTGCAAGGTCTGCTGCAATCGCTGGGCGAACTAAAAGACTTGCCCCTGAATCGTGAGTCGTGTAAGTAAAACGGAAAAATTAAATGGGATCCGAAAAGAATTTAACGAATATGTAGTGGGGATTTTTGTTAAATATATGAGGGCCGACCGCATGGCCAGCTGAAAAATCGTATATGAAACAAGAATTTCCCTTGGGGAAATTTCTTTTATTTCATGCTCTTTCATTCTCTTTCTTTATCACACTCTCTTTCTGTGCGTTGTTTCTAATTGCAGCTATAATTTATTTATAAATATTCTTTTTAGTGTCTTTGGGAAAATGTTGAGAACTAAAGGAAAAAGTGGGAAAAGTTTTCGGGCCTAGAAGGCTGTTAGGTCTCCTTCTTGAGTATTTTGATTAGATAGGAAACTGGTGAATTGAGTATTTTTGGAATCATTGATAACTTTTTCTTGCCGTTTCATTTCTGATTTGTGCAATAAAAAAGCTTTGTCACCAATCTCAATTTCTTTTCTGATTAACGTGCGAAAAGTGATTGAATTTTATTGCCTTAAAACTATTTCTAATCTGGAAGGGGTATTTCATATTTATCAGCACTTCCCCCTTGGTAATTTTTCTGTTGATAAGCGAACAAAGTTTCAAGTGATTTGTCATTCGTGGAACTTTATTGGGGTTTCAAATTGGGTGTGTTTTGCGTGACGGGCTTTTTGCCAGATGAAAGAATTTCCTCAAAAAAGAAATATGGTAAATGTTTGATTAAAAACTGATATGCCCCGAATATTGTGTATATTTCTTTGGCTTTCTCTATTTATTTTTGCAGCATTTCTTTTAATTGTTTAATAACACGATGGCCTTATGCAATTCTGCAGATTCTCTCTGACAATGTCAGGTGCACACAATTATTCATGCTTATTTCTTAGCAAACATTTAGGAATTATGTCAGCGGCTAACATCGCTATGATATCATTTGAAGCAGAGCTTACTCATTCGAACGCGCCAAAAAAGAAAAGCAACGCAAAAGCGTTAGAGGTGATTGGGGTTGTTGGATTTAAGTGGATTTGCGAATGATGATGTCACTATAAACGCTTTTGCGCCTTTCGCCAAAACGCAATTTTCCCGCCTATTGCGTTTCGTACTAAGCGGGGTTTGAAAATTTCACTGCACAGTGGCTGTCAAACTGCCGCAAGCAGTCCATTGAACCTAGCCTATAGATAAGCAGTGCAAATCTTTAAGCGATTCGAGTGCAGATTTAATTTATTGATTTAAACCTAAACGGTATGTGTTGGCATTTCCCGCATTTCGCCATTGTTGGTCACGCTCCGTATCCATGATTCAACCGCAAAACCCCACCCACTACGTCACTCAACGTAACACCAATACGTAAGTCCAATCTCCAATCTTCGGCTCTATAAAGCGGAGCCGAGTGCGAATCCAAGTTCGTGGTTGAGGTTGACACGTTTGCTGACATCTGTACATACTCCACCCCCTCCTTCGTTTTGTTCCCCCCTATTTGTTGTTGTTATTGCGCGTTATCTTTTACTTTCAATGCGGATCGTCGACTCAGTGAGTCGCTCTCTCCACTCTCTCCCGTTCTCCAATGGAGCTCTCTCCCGACGCACAGTGGGTCGGGATGCCTAGATTGGCGGTAATTAATTTAATATTTATTTTTGGTAACTGTTTATTTGATGCAATCATAAAGTATCGCTGTCCACTAACCAATAAATTAAAAATTTGTTTAAATAAATAAATGGAATATTTATTGTATATCTACGATTAAAATTAATTACGGAGAAATTGGCATAATTAAGTACTTTTTTGAGATTTTTTAAAAAATTACATTCGGCGTTGCGTTGAATAAAAAAAACATTTGATGCTGATTAGTGCCATTAAAACAACACCTTAATGATTAATCGATTTGATTGATAGCTCGCCCACTGTGCACTGCTTGGCGTGGCTCCCACTGCTTTTTCAATCCATAAAACTTGTTTGCCGCCACTCTCGCGCCCTCTCCTCTTCTCTCCCCCTCTCTCTTCCACCCCCAATGCCCCCCATGCGCTGTCCCGCTCGCTCTGCCGCCTCTGGAAACAAGCAGTTTCGTTCCCCATATGCGATGGCAAATTGGAGGCTTGTTGGTTTAATTTGTGCTCAAACTTCTTCCAGTTCTTTTGCTGCGCTCGATTCAGACGGTCGGCCGAATCGTCCCAGTCTCGTGTGTGCGTGTCTCAATAGTGACTAACTAACTGACTAACTGAAGTTTCATAGCTGTAATTAAGCCTAGACACGCAAAACTTCCACCCCGCTTTGCATACATTTTGGCGCCAAGCTAGTAACGGTTTTAAATCGTTTTAAATATATAAAACTAAAAACATGGCAGGCGGCAGCAAGCGCTACTCACGCAACAATTCCAACGGCAACTTCCAGCCGCTTCCCGAGCGCGGACCAGGTAATACTAAAATAGATCCAGGGATCGTTATCACCTGGTCCACGTTGTCCACTTTGTTGGGGTCTTAAAACCCAATAGCAACGAAACTCTGTTCTTATCTTCGCGGGGTCGTGGAATAAAAATTATTTATGGAGCATACGGCGGCAGTGATTGCTGCCAACGTCAGCAGCAGAATATCATCATCACCGCCAGCGTGGCCAAAATATTAAACATTTCCTATAACCAAAAAAAAGAAATCCAGTCTTTACTATACCGTTTTTTTTACCTTCTTTACCATTCTAGTGCTAATTTTAAGTATATATTTATTTTTTGCCACGTTGTGAACCGAGTGCCTTGGCAACAATGCAAAAACAAAATTTTTACCTCATCATCATAAATCCCGCTTGCATGGGCAATTTTAAATTGAATTATTAAACAAGTGTAGACATTGCAGGTACTAAGTACCGAGTATGTTATCAGTTTCAGTCAGTCTTATCTGCTTTACTTTTTTTTGTAATTATTTCTCACTACTACATTCTACTCCTGATGTGAGACTGCACTTCACTTTCGGCCAAAACGAGTTTCAAGGCAAAACCAAACCAAACCAGTTCCTCCATCATCATCTCTTCAGCGGGATTCAAGTTGCAATTGTAACGAAAATCTTCGATTCAATTGATACCTTGGAAACTTTCTCCCACGAGAGACAGAGAGAAAGAGAGCTTTCTTTCTTAGAGGGTTTTAACCCAGTTTAGGGTCTCAGACGCTGCCATCTCATCACTATTGTCTCCTTTCTAATTTATTTCCACGATATTTACATAATATTCCCCTCTGGCCTGGCAACTTTAGACAAATTCGAATCCGTATCCCAGTCGAAAACTAGTTTACCCAGCGGGTTTTTGTTTTAATTTATCTCTTATTTGTTTAGGTGTATTCTAGAGTGAGGTACCAAGTGGATTTTTGATTATAAGATAGTTTTTTTTACTAAAAATTCGGATTAGGATTATCTTAGCAATTTAGTGTTTATTTCCAGATATTCTAGATAGATTTACCAAGTGGATTTTTGATTATATGATTATTCTATGACTAGAAATTGGGACTAGTAATGTTCATTTCAAGATAACAACAAATAACCATTAAGTACCATAACTATTAACAACCCTTCATAATAGTTTGCTTATCATTATTGCCCGTATATCATTCATTAATGGCTACACCTTACTAGATTTCCTACCTGAGAACCCTTATAAATCACTTCGAATTAATGACCTCTCAATAAAACCAGCAAATCCAATGGATCCAATACTTGAGATTTATTTATAGAACTATTGTTTGTTTGAGTATCTTAATTGGGTTAACCCAGACGACGAGGGGCAGTGACTTCTTATCGGTAAATCCAATGAAAGCGAATGAAAAGCCGAAGTCGTTGGCCAAGAGATTTAGCGGATAGCGGATAGTTGGTGTTTACGTCAGCGTCTGAGAACCAAGAGATACATTCTGGACAATCGATTAAAACAACCAATTTATTCATTTCCGTTCACCACTCGAGAACTCTTTCTTTGCTCTTCCCATTTAGAAAACACTCTTTTGCGGCTCTCTTTTCTTTTCCGGCTGGGTCCGGAAAATTTGAACTCTTCTTCTAGCGCCTTTCCTATATGTTCTTTTCCCGGCCAGCAGCAGCAGCAGACGCTAAATAATATTTCTCTAGTGTGTAGAACTTGGCAACGAAAGTCAAACGTAGCACCGCGAACGACGATCCAACCGTAGGAAAAATCCGAAATGTCGAGCAAATTGTGTGAGTGGGAATCGGTAAAAGTATAGGGGGTTCTTGGGTTTACAAAATATAATGCAGAGCTTAGTTGTGCTGCAGGCTGTTTTGAGCAAATGCTAATGATAATTACCACCCAAGCAGATGTACGCGAGGTGCTCGAATCCATTTCATCTATTTATCTCATAGATTGCATAATTGCCGCCATCCGAAAAAGATATATATGTAAATGCGTGCGACGAGAGAAGTGTGTCTGTATATTTTTGTATCTCATCTCTTTTCACAGTTTATGAGGGGTTTAAATTGGAAATGGGAAATATATAATAAGAAATCATAAAACAAATATTAATTAAATTTCTTGATCTTCTTTCCAGTGGAGTCCCTTATCTACTGGCGCGATGTGAAGAAATCCGGCATTGTTTTCGGCGCCGGCCTGATCACATTGGTGGCCATCTCCAGCTTCTCGGTGATCAGTGTGTTCGCCTACTTGTCGCTTTTGGCTCTTTTCGGAACCGTGGCCTTCAGAATCTACAAATCGGTCACACAGGCCGTGCAAAAGACAAACGAGGGACATCCCTTCAAGTGAGTTATTATTTAATATTTTTTAATTATTTAATTTAATTTTAATTATTTATTTAAAAGGGAATATCTGGAGCTGGATCTGACGCTGTCGCAGGACAAGGTGCAGAACATTGCCGGCGTGGCTGTGGCACATATCAATGGCTTCACCTCCGAGCTGAGGCGTCTGTTCCTGGTTGAGGATATCATCGATTCGATCAAGTTCGGCGTCATTCTGTGGGTCTTCACCTACGTGGGTGCCTGGTTCAATGGCATGACTCTGGTCATCTTGGGTAGGTTTTTTAAATTACCTTAGCTCTATTTGGATTTACAATTGAAAAACCTCTCTATTTGTTTAGCCTTTGTCTCGCTGTTTACCTTGCCCAAGGTTTACGAGAACAACAAGCAATCCATCGACACCTACTTGGATCTGGTGCGCAGCAAATTGACAGAAATCACCGACAAGTGAGTTTGGCTCAACCTTTAATCCTTATAAATATATTTACTAATTCCCTGCTTTTATATAGGATCCGAGTGGCCATCCCCATTGGCAACAAGAAGCCCGTGGCCGCCGCCACCGAGTCTGACAAGGAGAAGTAAAGAACCCGCGCACTAGCAACAGAAACAAAACCACAATAAAAACATGTTTATTTATTTATTAAGCATTATTTGAATGGTTTTAATATTCATCCAGGCATTAAATAAATAACAAGTCTAGCAATGTTTACATATTAATTGTATAATTGCAATCTACATCAATCGATAATTGTAAATCAAATTTAAAAAACAACCCAAACAACAAGAACTTATCAACCAACAACTCGTAGCAGTTTCAAACATTGTCCAAGTGTCTTTAAGTTTTTAACGAACGAAACAACAAACAAAAAAGAAAAACATCAAAAGTAAGGGAGATTAAGATGAAGAAAACGATTATATAGACGCAGCAATGCAATTAAAAGTTTCTTATGAGTTTTCCAGCTATTTCCGATTCAAATCAAATATCATCATTTCGACTTTATTCAACTTTCTTAGTTTTCATGTAAACCTTTTTAAATTAATTCTTTGCTTTAGTTTTAGTTTTACTATTTTGTTGATTTTTTGTATAAAACAACAAGAAGAACTAAGATTACTCTAAAAACAAACAAGAAAAAATCAAATAAAAAATGAAGTAAAAAAATCCACAACTAATGATTTTTGTGTTTTCTAGCATTTTTAATAAAGAACAAACAAACAAACAAAAAATATATATACTAATAAGTAAGCTGATCCGTAAGTCATTAAACACGCGCCTGTTACTGGAGGAGAATGCAAGCATTAATCATAAATCATAACGAAAGATAAATGGAAGAATTTCGAGCAGCTTACCGCTTCATTTACATACATAAATGGCCTTGTTTCACATTGTACAATTAATTTGTAAGCATTTTACATGAAATTAAATCAAATATTTAATGCAAATTTATTTGAGGCGAAGGCATCGGCAAGTGTCATCACAATTGTAGCTTAAATGTTCATTACTATTATTACTGTAACACTTTGTTGCTTGATTGTTGAAGAAACTTTGCGTTTGAATTGCGTATTTCGAATTTCGTATTGCGATGGAATCCCCACATATAGACGTACTAACATACATATGTGCATGTGCAGTTTATCCCATAACTGTATTTTAGGCGTTCTTCTAAATCAGACTATATACCAATAGATATTTTTGCAAATTAATACACTTGAAATATATATATGTATACAACATGTAAGTGAGATAAACAAAGACATCGCCTGAAGAAAGATCGAAATTTTTAAGTGCAACTTTTCGAGGGTTTATCTTTAATTTAGTGCAACTTTACATATGTAATCCCAAAAAGAACAGGAGAAATAACACACAAATGTGCAGTAAGTTTGCTATGAATAGAGATCGAGACGGCAGTAAAAGAAGCGCTCTAAAAGTATTTAATTCTATGAATGAGACACAACAGCAACAGCAGTTGGCTATGATCGTAAAGTTTCAATAAAAATAAACTCTTATAAAAGTATACCGCTTCTTGTTTTATTTCTATTTGGTAAAAGGTATAAAATTAAGATACAGGCAAACAGAAACGTTTGCCAGGTGTAAAACAATCAGCTGATTAGTTTAATCCGCTCTTACTTAGGGGTGTGCTTTTTGCGGCAAGCTCTACACAAATTTGTCCAGAACAGCGTGGTTGCCCATCTCTAATTTGCGCTTTGCTTTAAACTAACGGTTGTCTTCCAGTAAGTTTAATTCCTATTGGTCGCTGGGGGGACGAAAAGCTTGGAATGGGCAACCATCTTAAAAACAGCCGCTATTTGAATTAGGTCAGAGTTACCAGCTGCCTCCTGCTGCGGATTATGTTCTCCTGGTGTTAAAAGTCAATAAATTTCAAGTCCTAAATTTTGAACGGTTTTGAGGGGGATAACGGGGGAATTTCCAGATTTCAAACCTTTAAAACGTAGCATATCTTTGAGAGTAGCTGCTTTTGGGGGATTTGTCAACTTTAAAAAGTCGGTTTTAGCTGTAAGCCATGTATAAATTACAGTTTGGGAAAAGTAGAGAAAATACAGAATCCCTAATCAGTATTTGGCCCGAAACTGTGGAGATAATTGTTCAAATATGGAAAGTCATACCTTGTTAAGCTCGTAATTCAAAACCCAATCGATTTACATTTAAACCAGAACATTTTTATTTTTGGACATTTTTCAAAAAAAAATCATGAAGTAACCGCTTATTAAAAATGTTCAAATCGGAAAAAATATATATTTTTTAAATCATCCTAAAAGTGATAGGATTGGGCTATTAGTTGTTAGTTTTTTTAAGCAACAGCAAAAAATAACATTTTAGAAAAAACCTATTTCTAACAAAAGTACAGATTTTTTCAAAGCTCAATAATCAGTATTTTGCTTTAAATCAATGTAAATAATATCCAATACCCAGGTTAGAACATCCCCAATCTAGAAAACAAAATAAAACACACCACGCGAACATTTACATTTGAATATATTTGTAATAATATGACTTCAATTTTTTATGGTTTATTTCGCCTAGCTACAGATGAAAACTTTCGTATAATGTATAACAATCAATAATCGTTTTAGTTTAATATTAAACTTTATAATACAAATACAAACATTTGTTCATTTACAATTCGAAATATGAAATCTTGTAATTTAAAATTTGTATACGCGTTGCGTTACTGACTTGAGTTTTTGATTCATTCAACATGGTACATTTGATTTAAGTTTGTTTTCTTTAATTAGTGGGCGTAGGTGTAGGATGTCTATAACACTTTTGATTATTGTATTGCATTGTTTATTTAGCTTTGATTAGTAGTTGTGGCAAACGATGATCGAGTCGATTGGAATGCAATGGGAACGAGAATACAAATTTTAATAGCTCTTAGATGAGTCTATCCCATCGGAGGGAATACTATAAAGTTCGATATAATAAATTTGGCCAAATGTTTAGCTAGCACACGATTACAACAGCAATGCATAATAGTTACTAGAATTCAGTTTGTTTGTTTTTTTTTGATATGATCATGAATCACAACAATATGTCCTATCCAATAGTAATGGAATTAGTTATATTATAATATACAATATGCTGAGTAGGCGCAATATCAATGACACGACTGTACATAGTTCGAGCTTTCGCTTTGATTATCTTTTTGTAAAATAATTAACAATGGTGGTTAGTTAAAAGTTAAAAGTCTGTTTCTAAAAAGGCTACGCAATAGATCAACATAAAAACTTTCCAAAAAAGTGTCGAATAAAAATAAAGCATTCTTTGGAACGATAGCAAAAGCTTGTGGCAGCTTAAAACCGATAAAAACAATGTAAGTATATAGTAGTTATAGTTATATATAGACGTTTCTTGTATAAGTAAGAATGACGAACGGCAACGTGAAAGGTGCCCGCTTTCGGGAACGGCTCAGTCTTCTGCTAAACTCAAGATCGAATGGCGATGATGTTGAGGACGTCATGGGTAGAGCGACTATATCTTTTATCATCTGACTGTAGACTAGCTTACTGCTAGGCGTTGTTGTTCTCGCCACAGCATTGTATGCAGTCCATGCAGTTATGCTACCTGTTGCCATCACTCTTTCGGTTCATATTCGATGAGGTCAGTTGTACCTGCAAGAAAGCAAATAATTTCGTTAGATTTTCTCTATATAATAATGCGGAAAAGAAAGGCAAAAGCGCATGTGAAAAGTTGAGAGGGCGTGCAGGCAAGGCTCAAGCGTGCTGGGCATTAACTGACCTTTAATCCTTGCATTATTATTTGTGGTGTTCTTAAGCTTAACGTGTTTTAACTTTACGCACAATAATAACAACAACAACAGCAAGAAAAGTTTGGGTGAACATTACGGTCAACAAAGTTAGAGACAGTGAAACGGTGAGAAAGTCTTTTTGAAAAGAGAACCTCCATTAGCTTTAATTACCTGCAGGGAACGGATGGTGTCCAGCAAAGCCTTCTTCTCCTCCAGCAGTATGCTTATATCATCCTGGGCGGCCTTCAAATAGGATCTCAAGACATCCGCCTCCTGTTTGGTCTTTTGCCTGTCAAGGATTTTATACAAACATGAGTACCTCCTTTATGAAAATAATATTTTTTAACTTTCACCTATAGCTATCCGTGTTCACTTTGGAGTCCACCAGTTGCCGGCGCAGCTGATCGTTGTCCAGCTTCATCTGCTGCATCACCAGCTGCATGGAGAGCAGCTCCCGATCGCGTTCACGAGGTGCTCCAAATAAGGCACTGCCCAGCGCCTGATGCTGAGTGGCACTCATGTTTGTATCTGCCATATAGCACTCAAAATATTATATTATATTTTGGAAATAGAAATATAGTTATCCCACCTATGGGCTGAATATTGAGTAATCCGTTTTGGTCTCGCTCCAGACGCATGCGACCAATGCACAGATTTATGGGCACTGGACCCGGTGAGGTAATATTTACGGGTGGACGGTCCTCAAGCAAGTTTATGCGTACATTTTCGAGATTTACCTACGAAAGATTGAAAATATTTAGTACCCTTTACTAATGAATAGCTACACAGAAAAAAAACGATATGAAATAGGGTTATTTCTACCTTATTTCATAACAATAAAAAGCCGATTTGATTTATGTCAAATGTAAGATTCAAACATATCAACATGATATTTTATCATATCATAAAAAATACGGAATGTAGTATTTTTTGAGCAATTAAGATTAAGAAAAGATTGATATGATGATGATATGAATAACTTGATCTTTAAAAAATATCAAAGTGACCATTACCATTTTTTTTTCTGTGTATAGAATTAAACTTACTGTCACTGGCATCGGGGGAGATATGACCTCATCCTCGGCCAGATCACCCAGGCCAATCACGGTGCTCATCGACAGGTCCATATTGATGTCTTTAACACGAATTTCGGCATGGTGAGTGATCCAGCTGAAAATTACCAAGTATATTAGATCGAAATTTGGAATAAATCGGAAATAAACGTACCTCTGAATGCGTTTGCGATCGATAAGGCCCTCAATTTCCTTTGGCATATTCAGCGTTTCCTCCAAGCGCAGACGGATGCAAGGTGGAGCCTCTGGATTATATGGAGCCAGATTCCAGGCCTTGCATCGCGCTCCAAACTTGGTCTGAGTTGGGGATAAAATCAGGGTACATTTTTAGAATATAAGCCCAAACAAATCTATGATCATGATTAGCTACTTGGAAGAACGACTAGGGAACAACATGCTAAGCTAGAGGCAACAACACCATGCAATGTGGTATCTGAGTTGAGTGGATTTGATAGTGTTATGATGTGGGTTTTATGGAGGGGATGGAATAATGTTTCATTTGTTTAAGAAGCGGGTGTTTTTAGTTATTCTTCGATTTTTTTACCAGTACAGTTGT